AAAGCTAAATTCGACACATTTCAACTTTGAAGTATTGCTGACAACATATTGGTTTGTTGGCAACAATGAGAATTTATTTATATAAAACACTGAGCAAAATGTTATTTGTATCAAGCAAACCTGGGCATTTTTTTTTTTTTTTGTAACAAATAACAAGTTTGGAATATATTTTTATTGTATCAAATTGATGCATTTTTAATTTATAACAGACTAATTATTTATATATATATGCCCAGGTTTGGTATTATTGGTTATGCTATTTTCTTGATTATTGCAAAATTAATTTATAACAGTATTTTAATAATAATTTTAAGTGATTCTACTATGTATGCTTAATGATAATTGCACCTTTAATATGATACCGTCGATTTTTCATAAAGCAACAATAATTCTTAAAATCATATAATGTATACTGTTGTAACCTATTCTAACCCAATTCGTTGACGGTCTGTGAAGCTCGAACAAGTCAAACCAAACAAAACCACCACGAGGTTATCCCCTCGTGGAATATTTTTAGAGTAAGAAATTCTTTAGTTACCCTTACTTAGTTATACAATTTAATTTACCGCCCTACAGACCAGGAGACACAATGGAAACTCTTACAGATTAGTATCCGGGTTATTGAAATACAAAAAGGTATCTAGGTTAAAAGGCTGTGTGTGACGTTAAGAGTGTGCTTATGTCCCTTGAGTATTAGGCATTAGCGTCAGCTCGTTTACATACCAAATTAGTGTTATGTACTATGTACATATTATGTTAAAACGCATTCGATTTGTTCGTCACGTTTCGTAATTAAATTTAATTCCAGTTGATTCGAGTAGTATTGTCATATTTTATTATAAATTGTTGATGTTTGGCGTAGGGGAGGAATGACATAAATAACGTAGTTGTAATATTAGTGATGACAAGTTATTATCGACACAAATACATAGCAGGCTGGGTTTTCAATGAAAAAAACGTAGCTGTCCAAAAGAAGAATGTCACTCTCGCTGTTATTGTTGTATCGCAATAATATCGAAAATTATTGTCTATCATCATTATTTTGATCAACGGTAATCGGCCTGTCTGTCGATACAAAATTGCTCTTGCTTCCTTTCCGGTTGGTTTTTAATTGATTTCCTCGGTTAATTTCCGAAACGCCTTCCGCAAAAAAAAAAACTCATTGGGAAAATCCCGGACCAAGCAAAGAGAACCTAACCGTGCCGTATTGGCGGCATGTAAACGCCGAACCTCACAACCACCGTTGGATCCCGGCGTCCCACCGCCCATTTTTAAGGAGTAAAGTACAGGCACATTTTTTAGAAAATCTTAATTTTGAAAGGTTAAACTGTGATGTGTAATTATTAGTTCAATAACTAGGACTCTATTTTGGTAGTTAATTTATTTTTTCGACTATCACAGCATCCTTGAAAGCGATTTAAAAATGTTTTTTCATCTCAACTTGTTTAAGCAGACTGAAAATAACTCGCTTAATTTTGGATTTAGAGTAAAAGCACCCATTATAAAATTAAAAGAGAACAATATTTCGGAGGGCAGGACGGTGCGTTTTTTTCATTATTCCAAGTATAACGCTCAATACATAGTTTAGAAATAACGACTTTTTTAACATTTTTAAATGACTGTAACTTTCCAAAAAATTAATTTTTTTAAAAAAACACACCGCACCGTCTTGCCTTTTGGAATATTGTTTTCTTTTAATTTTATAATAGGTGCTTTTACTCTAAAACCAAAATTAAGCAAGTTATTTTCAGTCTGCTTAAACATATTTTTACCACTGAAAATCACCGGTGCGACGCTCTCTTAAAACCAATACCAATGTATTTTTTTCATTCATCGTTATTGTTATAATATTATGTTCACTGTGATACTTTATGCATTGTCATTGTTGTAGAAGCGAACCGTTGTCGTGTCGAAATGAACAAACAAAATAATATAGTCTATGCTACGCATACCTGACACTGTTTTGATTTATATATATATATGTACCGTATGTATGAGCGGCAGGTAGGGGTTTTCCGGCGAGAAATCAAGTCTCGGGTAAGCTGATAATATATGTGCGTATACAAAATAATAAATTTTAATGAAATAATAATTGTTTTACACGCGGTGGATGTTTCCTACTAATAATATTATCGTGTGACCGCCGAGAGGTACTGTTGTTGTTATTATGTTACTTAGTCAACGTTCTAACGTAGAGCTCAAGCTATAGTTTAGTTCTGACTCGCCAGCCACGAGGAAGTGTATAAAATAACACCTTCGAACTAATGAACAACCCTTATGTGTGCCGTTTTGTTCGATAAGATATGCACGTGCCATCCGAGCAGAAAGTATGACTTAATAGTGACAGACACGATGTTACATTACTAGTTTCTATCTAAAGGTATTCGCGCGAGATGTATACATGTAGTTATCTTGATCATTGTATAAACAATTCACCGTCTTGATGCTAATGTTCACTTTACGTTGTTATCATAGTATTCTATTTTGGCCCTTAGGGCGAAATATTCATTAGTCACACGTTCTGTTTGTTTGTTTGGCAGATTTTAGCGGACGAAATTTCCATATAATAGCAAAGTATATACGAATTACACGTGTGAAACAATAGTGGAAGGTAGTTCATTATCGCAATAACTTATATTGTATTTACCTAATTGGTTTCGGTTACACCAGTTACACAGTTATTCCAACTTCAAATACAATGGTTTACAGTATCGAAGGCTTTAGACAGATCGAAATAAATAATGTCTACTCGATAACCAGAGTGTATTGCGCCGTGTTATAATATGTATTGCAGATTGCTCATAAGTTACTAAATTTAAATAGGAATTATACTTCAATTAGATTTAGGTATGTTTATAGCAACTAATTATTCAAAAAATCGTTGGTATATTAGATAACTCTAAACAGGTATTTCTCAACATCAGTTGACATGGGATCTAATATTTACAAACAAATTTCCCTCTCTAATCACTTTCTTTCATGACCTACATAATATGTATTACCGTCAACAGCTCATAACGCACTAATCTCGATTGAGTTTTAAGCCCTGCAGGGATACTCGACCTAAACTCGACCCGTCGGCACGATTAACCTTACATTTTGAATAGTTTTTCAGGCGCGGGATGTGTAAATGCAAAAGCCTCGCGATGACGCGGATTGATTGACCTGATCTAATATAAATGTCTACTAGTTTCGCGCTTATGGATGTACTCGATTACCTACACTAACACGCCCCACGAGTTCACACGTCCAGAGAGGGAAATTACAATTTAATTACCCGAGCGTTATTCAATAAAACAGTAAGTGAATGGACGAATTTCACAATCCGAACGGTTACCGTTTGCGAATAATTAGCACCGAATCAAACACATAATATTGATAATGTGCGTTATGGTTTTTATTGGCGTTGGCGGTGAATCATTATTTTTTTCAGTCTCGTCAGTGACGGTGTTTGATTGCTGAATTTCCTAAGACGTTCGAGATGTCAAAAGGATGTCTTACACGTAGTTTGTTTGTATGGAATTTGTACAAATGCATTATTATTACAATGATCGATGACATATTATTGTGTATTGTGTGCGTGTGATACAGTGCCGACCCGGCTGGGCTAACACTACTATGTTTTATGTACGTTTTGATTAACAAATAACAGCAAAAAAAAAAGAAAATTGTTCATCATTTCAAATCTGCCGACTTGAAAGTAAATTAAAATCTAGACTGTGACAAATGTACGAGTACCGTTGATTAATTACACGAATTAGCCGTTACGGTAAACTCGGTCGAGTACGAATTAATTTCCCGTTTAAGATGTATGGAAAAAAAAAGTCCACAAAATTGAACTCATTTCGAGCGGTACATAAATAAATCCAACAGCTTTTTACCGTCGCGGGAAAGTTAGATGTATAGAGGTACTTAGAGTTGACCGAATTAAAGGTTTATTTACCGTCACAATTGGTTGGCTATTGTCGCCTAACCGCGCTTTAAGTACCCCGACAGGATTATAATATTGTATCATACTTCTAGGCGCGCTTTAACGTGTATGCTCAGTGAACTGGCCTGTAATATTTCCATTGCAAAAGTCTTGAATCTCCGACGAAAGGCGCGTACTTATGCTAATATAGGTAAAATATATAAATGGTAAAAATGATTAAGGCAACAAACGCCGTGTTAACGTTATTCTACTTATATCCATCGAATAGCCGGTTGTCGGTAACTGATATCCTACATGTATGTATTTGTTTTTTTTCATCACATCACATTAAATGAATATTGTAATCGAGCACCGTGCGAGTATAATATATTTAATAAGACGAGTTGACGACTTCGAGTGTTTCGTTTAAAATAAATGCCTTACAGCGGCTAATATCGTCTCAAATAGCTAATAATGGTTCTTATTTCAAACGGTAGAAGGTGTAGGCAAAATTTGGCCGGGACTTTCTGTCAAATTTTCAGGGTGGATTTTACTTGGTGTCGGAACAAAGTGTTTTAGAATATGTCTGTTTTTTTATCGAAATCACAATCTTTCCACTTTTCTGAATCCGAAACCTAACCTAACCGTTTGTTTTCTCGAAATAACAAAAACGGTTAACGGTTTGAAAACGGTCTGTTTTTTGACGTTTTAGATAAAAAAAAACACCTGACACAATTTCCACCACTTTGGATGGTCCGATTTCTATTCTGTAAAGATGTACGAGTTGCTTGGCTACTACACTTCATGCCACGTGCTTTTTTAATGTTGAAAAATGTTCAAATTAAATTTTTTTTAATTACAAGATACTGCATTTTTTTAACAGATTAAAATAGGACCATCCCGGGTTGGCGTAATTTTTTAGTACGCTTTTTAGGTCTAATTGCGTTTACAAATTGATCTGTAGCAAATAAATCGACACGGTTGAAATTTATTACAACCCTCAATTGTTCTAAAACACTGCCTATATACAACTCAAACTTAATACCCGTCTGCTGGCAATCCCCCCATGTTAAACAACATAGGTACTCACGATACGTTGGACGGAGTTGGTCGACGACTCTGCGCGGTGTGTATCAGTATTTTGTTTGTCGTTTCCGTGTCGAACGTTGTGGTTTAACGGAAGGTATCTTTTTTTTTTTTTTTTGAATTTATTTTTGACGTTCACCCGGTTTAACCGCCAAAAGCACGCCGTGCGGACAGTCGAGACTTTCACAGACTATCGTTCGCCCCGACCACACCGGACACTTTAAAAGGTGCGTTGCCGTCGACTCCGCCTCGACGCCACCGGCCGCGGTGCGCACGCGATAAATACCGTTAACAGAGCTGCCGGCAAAACGCCATACGTAAAGGTCCCAAAGGCTAATAATTTGGCTCAAAACTACTTGCCAAAGTACACGGGAGATTTTGAAATATATATATATATATATATATATATATATATATAAAAATCCAGTATTCGTAAATATAAACGTACATTGTTAGAAATAATATAATAAAATTTAACATATAATTATAGAATTTTATTTTATTAGTTAATTTGTTACTACAAAATGATGACAATATATATGTATTTAATGCACAAAATTATTATTACAACTATTATGGTTTACTTCAACAGGGCGGTTGATGTTAACACATATTTGGACGCCTGCTGAAAGGTTAATAATGATTCATTCCAATTTTTTTTTATAAAGGGAGATTTTCTTCGCGTACCACCCATGAGCTTTCCTAATACCACTAGTGTTACGAATACCACAGGTTGAGAAGCGCTGTGTTAAATAATTAATATTTCATACGGACGATTGATGCGTATAATATAAAGACAAACTCAAAAAATAACAATAACTATATTATAGTTATTGTTAATAAGGTAAAAAAGGTTTTCAGTAGAGGTTAGATACAGCCAGGCCCGCCTGGTTGACTGTTCCTTACAAAAAGGTATATCCAAAAAATATTACCTTTAATAAAACTTTTAAATTTATATTGTCTGGAAAATTCAGTGGTATGGTAAACGTACCTGAACTTGGCCCACCTACATTATTGTTTGATCTTATCGAAAATACTATCAAAAGTTTGCAAGTAAATATTACCAATTTTATGGAAGATGGGCCAACTTCATGTAGCCCGGTAACATGCTCCGGCCAGGTATACCATTCGATTCGTCTCAGCTTGCAACTAGTCGCAAGTCCAACCCTGCAATTTGCAGTTTTTATAAAACAAATTTCTTCCAAGAACAAACAATTTAAGAACATAAGAAATAAAATATTCATAAAAACCTACAATTTTTTTTTAAACTAAAAATGTAATACAACGTATTGTTATGAGAGTGTTACCGGTTAGGATTTACTGTATTATTCACACATGTTATTAATTTTATTGAATTTAAACATTCATCTCCTTATAATAATGAAATGAAATCATATACACAATAAATAGTTAAGAAATCAAGTTAATTAATAGTATAATAATTCAAATACAGAAAAATTAATAAAACATTGGTAAAAACAATCATCGACCATCCGAATAATATTCGGGTGGCCTTCTATGCGTTGGAATAAACCTAAACACGTTGATATAACTGTATAAGATTTATGTTTTAATTAAATTTCCCAAGTAAAGCTTAATATTATAAGTGATAAAAACCAAACAGTATCAGTTTTATTTTTCCTCGAGTATTTTCCCAGAAAAATCCGTTACATCTCCGAGAGTAAACAATCAAATAATAAGTTATCTATAGTAGAATCTTTTTTTTTTTTGGGGGGGGGGGGTGGTTTTGTGGAATTTGTGCTATATTGCTTTTGTACTTATCAGTACACAAACTCTATACTCAAGCTTTGATGTTACTTACATACAATTTGGGCCTGCAAACAACAAAATAGTTTTCTGTTTGACTTCGGGGTAAATAGGAAGTTACCAATTTTCGAGTGTATCATTAGACCACAACATCTTAAGGACAACAAGCAAAGTAAAACTATGAAGTTTTAATGTCCAGTTTCTGTAAAATGTCTCTGTGTCGTTGACGGCGTAGAATCTTTCATTATAGTTACACTTAGAACTCTATATACCTTGTTGTTTTGGTATTTGCCAATTTATAGTGAAAATATGTAACACATTTAAATGTATATATTAAACATCATTATAAAAAAAAAAGCTATTTATTCATTTTTTTTTTTTATATAAATATAAAGGAAAATCTAAAACACATATATCCGAGTTTAAGAGTTTTTCTACTTTTCTGTCTTTATAAATTATAATAAGTATTTCATAATTATAAATTTGGCTTTTTGCATTCGTGATTCGAACGAATCGAAAAAAAAATAACAGTATTTAGCAATTATTTTAACAAAGGCAAATGTTCATAAAAAAAAAAATGGGTTACTCATTGTTATATTTTGAATAAGCATAATATGATATAAATTACAATTTGTGTAGCGATATTATGTTTTATTCAGATTGGACCTAAAAAAGAAATCGCATTTCGAGGGTTTTTATTTTACAATTGTCGTCAAGTTTGCGCAAGTTCTTTCAATTCTGTTTAATATTTATTTATTATACATAAAAAAACACCTCTTTATTTTATTATGTTATATGCTCGACGTTGCTGCGAGCTTAGGGATCGAGTTACCGACTTACTTTATATGTACAGTCACCGGTGGTTTTGGCGTTGAGCTTTTGATGTAATCCGATGATATTTTTTTATTTATAATATAAAAAAAAAAATTTGAAATATTATTAATGGCTTTTCGAGCAATCCCCGCGTCAACGGTTTTACCATAAAAATTATCCTCCGGTAAAACGCTATATAAACCTAACCATATAAATCATTGTTTTTTATGTATATATATATATATATACTGTTGCTTACATCAGGTTTACTAGGAAAAACGTTTTTATTAATTAGTTTTATACGTATTATACTTCAATTTTAGTCCAGAAATAACAAATCTGTACACTGTCACCGGACAAACGATAATGGATATAAATGTTAACGCATTATCGAAGGACTGCGTGGGACGAAAAAGAGTGTCAGATTATCACTAAGAAAATAAACAATTTTTTAACACAGTTATGTATTAAAATAGAATAAAAAATCATTATCCCGGATGTACCTACTTAACACAATGCGACAATAATATTTCTAAACTGACCCATCAAAATAAAAAACACCTATTGTGTTCATCGATCATGATAATTTGCTTAAACTGATAATGTGCAAACATTTATTTTTAATTAAATGTTTATTTTTCAGATAAACTGACAAATGAATAATATTATTATTAGAATCGACCGAAAAATAGATTGGGAAAAGTCTTTTAAATAGTTTAAAAATGGTGTAATAGCATCTTTATAATATTATTTAAATGTCAGGCAACACCTTAGTAATTATTTTATACATTACGCGTTGCACGTTTATCATTTTAAATCTATTAATTTTCACAAATTAACCGACAAAAGAATATTCAACTCGAACATCAATTATATATACCCGTCATATCTACTATCAATTGAGAGTAATTAATAATGGCAACTGTTGTAAAGTAAATCTACTATTTTAAATAACTGTACTCGGGAAATGATAATTTCAAAAAACAAATAGTCCGTTTTACTAGTGTAATTTATTTCTGTACGGTGTAAGGTAATTATAACATAATAGAATTAAATTTTTGTTTAGGCGTAGGTACTGATCAGTCGTGAATCATGTTGGTTATATTGCACGAGTTTATCACTGCTTCATACCGGGTGACATAGCTTTCATCATTGTTGTCATGCGTTCTTTCAGCTGGAAAAATATACATATTTTTTTGTATATTTTCAACATTTCATTGATTGTTTTTTTTGGGGGGGGGGGTTGAGGGCAGGGATAGGGGTTATTGTTCGTGACAAACAACAAACCTTGGGCGACGTTTTAAGAGCGCAAGTCATGAAGTTTTCCGAAATAGCACATTCGTCGTCTCCTTTGGCTGCAAACGGAAATGAAATGAAAATAACAATATTTTTGAATCTATACGGCGATTGATATTATTATTATTATTGTTATACTCACGGTTGGCACATTTTTCATGTATTTCTGTCAATTCGGCCTTGACCGATGCGTTTTCTAACTGATCCACTAGTTTCATGTAAGCACCGGGGACGGGTTTACCGTCTACAATCTGTTGTCAAATTATAATATTGTAAAGATATTGATATTCGAAGAAGAAAAACATTTCACAGTCAACTTACCAATCCCATATCTTTTCCCATGCACGCGAGGGCACACTGCAATGAAAAACAATAGAACGATAGAATTTATTTTGGATATAAAAATTGACAAAATCTTGTCATTTCGCACTTGACAGTACTGATGACTAACTTACGTGCATTAAGTGAAATTAAATATATATTATATGATTCAATGCCAACTAATTTGAACACTCACCGTGCAGTCTTTGTACTTTTGTTGGGTGATGTCGTATTCGCCATTCATCATTTCGGAGCAAACGTCTGTAAAGTAAAAACCAAAAATTAACATACAATATATAATTGATAATGATATTGCCATACATACAATAATTATTCTTAATTGTGTGTGAGTCTAATTTCTTTAGATAACACAAAAAAGGTATGACCAAATTAAATTATTTACCCGAGTCGATGCGTTTTACTCACCTAAATCAATATTGTTGAAACATTTAATGCCAACCGCTAAAAACTTTGCCAACTTTTCCCCGTCAGCATCACCAGCAACCTTTGGAAAAACGTACAAAACAAATTGTATCAGCCAAATTTTTTTAATTCGACAATAAATACGACTAAAAGTATATCATTCATGTCTATATGTTTACACCGTCAAAATAATACTTGCACTTTAAAGGTTTACAATAGCAATACAGTACAACAAGGTTGAAAAAAAACTCTTAAAATATGCACAAACAATTGAGAAAATAAAATACAAAAAAAATTGACATTTATTTATTAACATTTTGTTTTGCTTGTAAATTCAATTATACTTATACATTTTTTTTTAAAGTCTTTATTAATAAAAAATATTTGGCTCAGCAATTAAACAGTAATAACTATACTTATAAATTAAAGTACCCTTCTTAAATCAAGAAATAATGTGCTACTTTTTTATTTCAATTTGTAAGTATGGTACCTATATATTTTCATTATTTGACAAGACGTGTTATACAGTTATAGTTTGTTTAGTTACATATCTTCATTTATAAACAACGTTTATTATTACATTTTAATATAAAATGAGGTGGCCATAAAAATATCCACCAAATCTCTTTTTTTCATTACATATATTCGTGGTGAACTATTTTTTTTAAATAGGTATGTTAAAGTTATACACAAAGTAATGAGTAAAAAGTTTTAATTAGATACACAAAAAAAATAATAAACTAGTTATTGCATACCTTTTGTTTGGTTAAATTTCAGTAAGACTAACTCTATTATTGTACATTGAAATTTAACAATATTCTGAGATATAGTACTACCGGTATTCAGTGAAAAGCCTAAAACATATTATGAAACCTTTCACCTAGACAGGGTGGAAACTTTTTCTTTATTAAGCTCTTTTAAATTTAATTGTGGACTTTGTATCTAAAAAAAATTGTTCTGAAAATAGATATGATGCAACTTACTTATAACATAAAACATTAAAAATTTGTTTTCTAAATATTATGTTCAAACTTTGATTTTATTTAGAAATAAAAAAAAATCGATTACAACCCCAATTTTTTTTTGTACACTTCTATAATGTTACCTATTTATATTTAATTATTTGTGTTTGTTTTAAACTATATTTTTGCCAAGGGATAGTGATTTTTTATTTTATACTGAAAACAATTTTGGTTGGTTTTTTTTCGATATTATAAAAAAAATTATAAATCGCCCAATTGAAATGATCAGTAGGTCGCTTAAAAAAAAAAAAAAAATACTACTGATTGACTAGTTAGATTGAAAAAACTATATACTAGGTAATATGTATGTATCAAAACAACTAACTTACCTGGCTGAGATACATAGATCCGACCAGCACGAAAACGGCGACCAGAAGGACTTTGTTTGCGGTCATGTTGGACGAGACTTGTTGAGGAAGTGATGACGGGAAAACTTCGTGGAAGTATAACACCAGGAGTGTTGGATGTCGGACAGCGTCTACCGGTTTGCCTGGTCCACTCGACACCGGTGGCTTTTATACGGTGGAATTTTTTTTTATCGTTTTATCTTTTCGGTTTGCGTCTCCGTGCAAGTCCTTGAGTTATGGGAAACATCCGGCAATTTGGACGATTCACAGTTTTTTTAATAAATCATGCACACACTAATATATAGGTACACGCAAGCAGGTGTATATACTATATACTATGATAACGAGGAAAACTAAATTTATTAAAAAAACAACATCTGAAAATAGAAAAACGACGAGCGCCGCCGTTAATGACGCGTCTGGGTGGTTACTTGCCTCCCTCTATCTAATTAAAAAAAAAAATCTTAATTTCAAACTCGAGGACGAACCGCGTAAACGGTTCCAGTGCTTAAGGTAGGTATACATAATAAAAGATATAATGATCATGCATTACATGTAACCACCGCCAAAATATTATGTTATATTTGTGTTGTTATTGACCTTAAGACATCTGCTGGAATCCTAAATTCATTCGGGTCTGGGCAACTAGTAAAACTTCTAACTTAAGTATCCTTCAATAAACCTACGCCTAATCACCGAAGCTCCTTAACATACCAATGTTATCAACTCTTGCCTCCTACTAGGTACCTACTATTAAAAAATTCCATACGAACACCTCCAACCACACAAATCCCCTCATATCTAAGATATTATCTTCTTATTGCACAATCCTCCTCGTCTACTAAAGTGTAACTGTCCACGAGATCTAAATACTAGACATGTAAAAAAAAAATTGAGAAAAACATAAATTTTCTTGTAATACTAAGCCTTTGAATTCATACTTGGAGTGTGTTATAATGGACGCTCCCTTTTAAAAATCAACCAATTCACTTATTTTATTAAGTATTTTATTTAAAAAAAAATACACAGTTTGACGAGTTCATGTTTTAGTTTCTGAATTTAAAAGCATTAGACGGTGTTTAATTTAACATAGTTAGGTTCACTCGGATGTTAAAAAATAATATTAAAAAAATCGTTTTCCCGGAAAAAAAAATGTTTGCATTTACCGATGATTATTATCTTCTAATTTTCTAATTAACTGAACTCTAACCGTTTTTTTTTTTGTTTTAACTACTGTTTATATATTATCGAGACCAACAAATCTCTATGAATATTTAGAACCGTCAATCCCTATTATTTTTGTATTGTTATACCGTTTTGCTATGTGGTATTTTCTAAATACTTCCTAACTATTAAATAATAGTGTCACACCAATGACCGTCAACTGTACTTATCGTTTTTCGCATCACTTCCTATGGCCATCAGAAAATTTCCGTTTTATTAATTTTCGCGTTATACACTAAGCATATAGGTACTGAGTTTCTATCTATTTGTTTGGGTGACATCAATCCTTGGAAAATTAAACACTTCCAGTAGGTACACAGTCAAGTGGGATAGAAACGTTTGGTATTTTGTGAAATTTCAAAACAATATGTCCTTAAATAGAAATGTATACAACCGTCTGACGTCTGGTCTTACATAAAACGGACAGATAAAAATAAATAAACTTCCACGTTGACGTCATAGACAGGGCAAGTGAAAATAGAAAATTGTTTAATGTTTACCTTGATAGTAATTAGCACCCACGCAGTTTTGTTTGTCTTATTATATCGTTATTATCTTAATACAATACAATTATACTTATGTTGCAAATTTTTGTATTCAAAGGAATTATAATGATTAAGTTGTTTAACAAATTACAACTCGAGCTCAAAATTATTTTAATTACACTTCGACAACATCTTTAAACGGTCATGGGTGTCCTATTACACTATATAAGTATTTTACATAAATGAAAACCGAAATTTCCTTTATTCAACCTCTAAAATGTAAACCTAAAAAATTAGTGGTTACTCGAAATATATAAGATTCCGTTCACGGTATAAAAATAAATAGATTTGTTACTTTATTCAATTGTTTTTTGTTTTTTACTTAAATCTTAAATATTTCTTTTCCGGATGGCTGTGTAAAAAAAAAATGACTGTTTAAAACATAAATTTGCAAATGAAATTTCATGTTAAAATATGTTTATACCAAAGTTTGTTCAAGCCCTCATTTGATTTATTTGCATTGTTTTTAAGTAGCACTTAACACCTATTTCCCAAATATAATAATTTATAAAAAAAAAAAAATGCATAGCCTTGAAATTCAACTACAGTATTGTTTTCCGCACATTCCATTTAGGTGGCATACAAGCTGTTGATAAAAATCTATAAAAAAAAAGTAAATATAATAAATACATAAAATAATAGTTTTTTTTGTTGAAAAACATGTAAAACGCATTTTTCTAAATACATCAAGATAACGTTTGCAGTGAAAAACCCTAGAAATTTAATTAAACAAATATATAAATTGACTTTTGAAAAAAAAAAAAATAATCAAAAATGTTTTGTATAAAATTCTTGTTAGACAAATTTTCATCAAACAGCTACTTTCATTGTTAATCCAACGACATAATTTTGTAAAAATTCGACTGTTGAATATTCCAAATTGTGTATTTAACATTTAGGAAAAACATTTTTTACTTTAAAGTTTAAACCTGTGTTGGTAATCATAAAAAAAAACATAATATTATGTCAACTAAATATTATTGTACCTAATTTTTAAGCTCATCTGATGAGGACGGCAATGAGTTCATGTCAGTCAATATGTAAGGCATTTAAGTTAATAATAATAATTAAATACAAATCGTTATCCGAACTAATAAAATACAAAATATAGCAAAACATATAAAGTTTGTTTGTTTTATATTTTTATGAAAATAAAAAATCCATTCGCCTTGTATGTTATAACAACAATAATTATCCCACTTGACCTTCTTACAAGTAAATTATTAAATTATAAGATAATAACATGTTTACCTAGTCGTCGTTTGGACTGCTGTCAGAAGCAAAACGTCAGATCTATGTAAGCCAGAAGTCTGAACCAAATTAAGGACCCGAATAGATATAGAATAAAAAAATCAGTCCTGTGAATTCATTTCATCGAACGTAGGTGATCGATTCGGGTCTTTTAAAAAGATAAGTGCTTACAAAATAATACTTGCCGGCTCCAACAGATTCGGATCTGTTTTGGAAATTGTTTTAAAAAAATATAATTATAATAAACTGTTGATTTTTTCTTGCAATGTCGTGTTTGGATTAGCTTGACGTAAAAATCAATAAATAAAAACAGTTCAATAAAACGAGACATTAACTTGATAATCCTATTAATGATGATTATATTATATTGTAAATATTATCTATAAAGTATATGGTAGCTATATGTTATGTTCAATTAGTTATTACACAAATTCATCAATGGAAAATATTGAGGGTTTACCCAGGCACGGTTTTAACGATTTATTTTTTAAAGATAATATTTGCCGCCATTAAAATATAGTTACATTTTTTATTTAAAATGACTAGCAAATATGTTTTTATTTATTTAATTTCAAAGAGCTTTCGCTTATTTTTATTATAATAATATATTATCATGAAGTACCTATTTAATTTAACTTCAAGGAATGAAACAGGTGTATAACACCATTTCAAAAAATACATTTGATTAATAATGTGTAAGTTTCAATTAAAAAGTTATTTAAACAAGCTACTGGAAGAGTATTAAGTGAAATACAAGTTTTGTTCAGAAGTAGTAAAAACAATACATTTTTTTTGAAAGTTGCGTGAAACCGTTTTTCTAAATAACAATTTAAACTTTTAAATAAGTTTTTACAGACATTTTTATTTTGTAAAAATATAGAAGACACAATTACAATATTTACTCTTGAAAAAATAATACTTAAATGTGAAGTCGAAGCCCTTATTAAAATACCGAAACATCAGTCTTAGTTATACTATTTTCAATCTACATAGGTACTGTTCTTTCTGAACACCTTTTTTCATTTTCTACCAAATAACTTCTTGGCCATATTTTCATTTTACTATTTTAGTACGATAGCTTCACAAACTTAAATCGAATATCTTAATAAACAAGTAAGTTAAAACACTCAACGTCATTCATAACTATTATATAAGTATCTTGCTAAAGCGATTTTTATTAATTCAGTTAGTCTTTTGAAAACTTACCTACTATCCAAAAAACCTTTGATTAAAATTTGTTCATATTATTACATCTTACTTGCTTACAATAGTCAAATGTATACTAAATATTTGCTTATGGACTATTTTACAATATGAAAATAATAAAAAAATCTAGAGCTATAGCTCCATTTAAAAACTTTTATAATTTACACCAAAAAAATGTAATCAATTTCGAAACTACTATTATGATGTCAAAGGTGTGATATGTACTCAGGTTTTACCACTAAGTGAACAATAACCTTAGTGAATCACCTTTGAAGTATTAACAATTAATGATAAGAACCAAGTAGTTCAGAAAACGGTCATTAAGAATTAATAGATATTATAATATAATTTCTAAACCGTAAATGACTTATGTGTACAATAACTAATTTAGTATTTAAATTTTATACATAATTCCTTTTTGAAAATAGTACATCAAAATGTATTTTTATTTTTAGTTCACCAAAAGTAAGTTAAACTGATTAGAATGTAAGAAAAAACTAATTTTAATAAAATTTTCATTGTAAAAATTGAATTTTGTTTGGGTGTTGCTATCCAAAACATAAATTTGAAAAAATATTTTCAAGAAAATTTGTATTTACCCATATTTATGTCCAGCTCAATCATTTTATTAATATAAAAATTACTAAGTTCGTGCTATGAAGTTCTTTCAGTGTACATTGTATATTATAAATGACTTATCTTAAACCAATCTCTTCAAAACTTGTTATTATAAAAAAAACATTGATAAATGTTGCTATTTACATGCCAATTAAATTTTTAGAGTAACTCCAAAACAATGTGTACACTGTTTTTATTATATCGGCTGTATTTTCTTTTTGAAAGTTTTATTTAGTATTTACCCAAGCACAATTAAGGTGAGAGTAGATTTACATTATGGTTCTAAAATATATATATATATTTTTAAATATTGTTGATAAGAATGGAATTGAAACAGATTTGTATGCTTCATTAAATTAATCGTCTGTTCTCAATGGAAATAATGGTAGACGTCCAAGTTTATCATCCATTCTGACTCAATCTAACCCACTATATATTTTTTACATGTATCAAATTGAAAGTTATTGATGATGTGAGAACTATTTTCTATCATCAAACCGTCGAAAAATTTTATTATTAATATTTGACTAAGTAAAATATTATAACGTAATAATAAGACAAATTAAAACATATTATTTCTCATTCATATATTGTGTTCAATTGTAATAGTAATAAAAAAACATTTATAAAATCTGCGATACAAAAGAAGGTCATGCGCAAACACACAGTTATTTTCTTAAAAATCTTAACCATCTAACACAATCTAATATCTTTAAGTCGCTAAATAATTAGACTACTGATAATGTAAATAATAAGAAAATAATTTGCAAACGACAATCTTGTGTGAGGAGTATCGATTTTGACCGATGGCGGTCTAACGGCCGAGGTTTCATAGGTGGCACGATTGATTGACCACCGATCCAGTCGCTTGTACACATAATAATTAAATTTATTCAAATGTAATAAGCCTACAAAATTACAAAAAGTATAAACGAAATAATTATGCTTTCGCGATTAACATACACATTAAACACAATTAGATTTGAAGACAATAAAAAATGTTCAAGTAAAAACAACAAAAATAAAACTTATCACATCGCTATTAAAAAATAGTTTAATATTTATAAAATCAAATTGACTTTTTTTTATTTGTTACAATATTGTAAAATCCGCACTTTCTTTGGTCCCGAATACAAACGATCGTCTAACGGAGACTAGACGACCCTTTTTGTTGTCACATAAATATTTTTATTTCTGCTAAAAGAATGTTTCAAGGAAAATCATTTTTTTTTATTTGCCTACAAATTTAGAATTCACATACAATAGTGGTTACTGTTTTCTAAAGTAACATTTCATTTACCAGCTAACAAATTCTTGCAGATTTTTTTTTTTTTTTACTAATCATCAAAACAAACCAAAGAAATATATAATTGTCGATATAAACCGAAAGGGAAACATGCTACTGTTATTATACATAAATATTATCAAGTTATTATAGTTTATTATTTTAAACAATAAAATAATAATATTAATAATAGTACATATTATTATATTAACTATATAATTATTTATCATGCGTCAAGTTAATATTAATTATATCATTAATAAACATAAAAAAAAAAAATTATCCTATAAAATATAGTATTGATACAAAAAAGGAATTTTTCAGGGATTTTTTTTTTCGAAAATATAATGTGCCACTCCAATATTCAGACTCAAAATACACACACGAGTTAATGACTTGAGAACAGGGTTGAGTCGATTTATTGTGCATTTATTTTGAAGTATACATCGGTACATCGCCGAACGGTTAATCGAGAGTCACTCTGGACATCATGATGCCGCCTCTTTTATACAGCCAAGCACTGGAAATCGAAAATTAATATTATTAATTTTATTGGTTTATTATTATTGGTGTTGTTATTTTGAATGAAAAATATTTTCTGCTGTACACACCCGACGCCAACTCCCAAAATCATCGATATGATGTTGGTCAAAAACAAAGTGTACAAGACTTCCTTTGAAAATAGTCTGTCTTTGCCGACCTTTGCGTTGCGCATGCTGAATGTCTTCTTGTTGGGATGAATGAATTTCCAGTTCCTAAAAAAAATAAATAATAAATCAAATTGTTTTTAAATTTATAAAGTAAAATAATTAATGACTCATCATAAAAATTAGTACAATGATGTTTAAGGAAAATTTAAAACTGATTTTAATGAACTAGATTTATTTATAGCCAAATACAATATAAATTATATTCTCAAAGATTAGATTTTTTCATATCAGCACACTTTTATTACACATATTTAACACTTTTGAGCATACATTTGCCTATATTTATTTCTAGATTTAGCAGCATATTTGTAGGTGTAAAACAATGTTCCAATTAATTATTATCTTTTATCGTGTTTACCAGTATGAGCTATAGAAAATTATACACAATCTGAGAAAAAGTATTAAACGAAAATTCTGGTTATAAAATATTGCCTAAAATAATCGTCTTGTTCTTTTTTTAATTTGAAAACACCACCAAAATAATTGTAATACAATGTTGTCCTGATACATAGAAATACCCTTTTAAATAATTAACCTATTCAAGACGTTATTTAAATTATGTCAAGGCTATTTGATAACTAGCCTAAAATGTTTAGCAGATTTCAAAATGAAGGCATACATTGCATATTTTGAAATTTTAAAATGCATATTTTAATACATTTATGGTCATTAACATCCGACCTTTACTTATCACTGAAAAGAACAACGTCACGCAGTTTGTGGAATGACCACTAGGCTAAGAACATTATCAATTAAACTAATATAATATTCAAATATTGCAACCGTTTATGGCTTTAACAAATAATTATTATTCAAACGTACGACGTACGGAATTCATTTAATCGCTGATTACAAAAAAAAAAATGTTTAGATTAATATTTTATAAGTAAAATTACTTAGGTGGTGCCTGGTCTGGCCGGCTGCTCCAATCCCAAATCCAGTCGGTGCTCTTGTCCAAGTTGTACAATTCTCCTCCCTGTAAACGATTGAAAATTTAAAAATTAATCGTAGTGATAAATTTAGAGCGTTATTTTTTCTATGCATAGTTTAATATTCTGATATATAAAAAAAAAACTTGAACACAGATACAATTTTAAAAATTCCTTAATTTTTTTTTTCTTCAATCTTAATAGCGTGATTTTTTCCTCATAAATAATTTACAATAACATTTTTTAAGACACAATTTAGTATTAGTATATTTAATATCGAATTTTATTGGATCCCATTTAAACGATAAGCTATGCAAATTGCAAACCCATTAAAATAACGATCGCTCATCGACAACTGGTTCCAAATGAATATACAAGTTAAAAAATACTAAACATTAACACAAAAAAAAAATAATAAAAATTGTATTGATCTAAAAAAACTTAAAAATATTAAATAAAATCTCAAATTTAAACAAAATCCGTGTTAGCACAAGACGAGATATTATTTTTTATTTTTTTATCTCGACCCATACCAGTTTAATATATATTGTAAAAAGTAATAAATTATGAAACTGTGAAATTGGATAAATGAAAAACAACTAGTATATTTTATTATTTATCTATATTCGATTGGTACAAAGAAAACGTTCGCATAGTTTAAAGTTATTAGACGGCGATCACGAAAATTAAGTCCATTTTAGCAGTTGTTATTATATTTTAACATCGCAAATTATAAAGCTATTTTAAACACAAGCCAAATCTTAAGTTTCCTATTCTTATAAATACAATCTTTGTTGTGTGCAACAAAGAGTCATTAATCGCCACCTAAAACACACACTAAAGATAACCTATTGGCTTTCGATAAACAGGGCATAAAATGTAATTCTCGATTATATTATTATTATTATAATTTTTATTTTGGTCTAACCAGTTTGTCAGATCATTTTATCGATTCTACAGATAACGTTTTCCGCGTTTTTCTCGTTACGTTAAAACGTAATTAGAATATTATTACAAGCTTAAAAAATAAAACACTAACTTTGTTTGAGTAGTTTATATAAACACTGCCGAGGTCGTCTTCCAGCTCGTTGTTGGGACTATTGGGCGGCGATTTGGGGCTGTAAAAAATAAACATAAACTGTGTTAATTCGAGGACGATTCATAGTGTTGCTCTCCTAACTTTTTTTCCATACACGACACAATAAAACGATTTATACTCCTGAACCTGCCAGATGGAACTCAAAATAAGCAATAAAAATGAGAAAAAAAACTATGTAAATAATGCTTTGTTGAAGCCAAAAAATAGCTGTATTTACCCAAAAATATGGGTATTATTAGGATTATGTAAACTGTTTCATAAGAATTTTGTTTAACTCTAAAATAAACGTTTTTGCCATCTCTAGTAAAGCTTAAACTAAAACTTTAATTGAGATTTTAGCTGAAAATAATTTAACTCTAAGAGTAGTTTTGGTTATAAAGCGATAAACAAGTCTATATTTTAAAAACATCGATTTTAGGGGAACGTTTTAAAAAATATTCATTCATGTATATAGCTTTATTAGCATTCAAATTTTGGCTGAAAAAATTGAACATTACTTTTTATTCCTTCAAGACTATTGTATTCGACTAACTTAAAATTTAACCAAAGATATTAATTTTTTATTATAATAAGTTTTGTTCGATTTTTCTAAAAAAAAAAAACGATTTGGTTATTTAATTTGAATAATAAATGTCAAATCACAACTGACCAGAATTAATATTTATCAACAAAATGTTTTCAATTTTAATATACACTAACATATTTTGTACTACCTTTACGATTTAAGAAAAATTGCTCAACTATTACCCATTTGTTGAACTGTTCTTAAACTATTCGTTTTTAATTATTGATTTTGTACTTTGCCGTCTGGTATACTGAACAGGACACAGACAGGCAATCATTAAATTAGTCTTTAGTTCATTTCTATCTCTAGTAAATAGCCAAAGAACTGTTTGAACCGACCTGCCTTTCCGCGAAGACTCTTTAGACAACACTCTGGACGACGAGTTGCTTTCCCTTTGCGCTTCCTTGAGCAATCTGAGGTACTCATCGCCGGATGATATAAAAGGTACTGGAGTGACACGGCCAGGGCTGTGTAACGACATTGGAGACGACCATCCGCCGGTAACGTCTACCCAAGATTCTGCACAAGACAAACATTTTAAATTAAAATAAAGCTAGATGATTATTTTAATAATATTTTAAAATCATAAAAAATACAGGAACAAAAAGTCGAGGCTGTTCAAAACCCAGAAATATCCCCTAGTTTAACTTAAAAAAATTAAGGTTTTAAAAGATCTGGTTCTGTTGAAAATGGAGACCATTTTAAAAAACAATTATTTTTAACATAACCAACAACAGCATTAATATAACTTAAAAACATATTTTACAATAATCGTGAGCGTACAAATTTTGCTTTAGTATTCTATTTATATCGAAAAATCTCTTCTACTTTTACCCCATGACAAGCAAGTGGTGAAGTTGTGTGACTCACTCTGATTTTCTAACAGTGTATTATACACCCCTCTTCCACTTTCTCCATCACCAGGGAAACAGATCATAATTACGGTAAATTTGTTTGGCTTTACTAGAGTACAAGGGTCCTATTCGTGCATTACCCAATTGGCTGATGTTGAAACGACAACAACATTGGCAAGTTTTACTAACAAAATAAACTGCGAAGACTGACAATAATAAAATAATAATATGAAAAACTGTAAAACTTCACAAGTCAGTAAATAAAAATATACTATTGCGACAGACAAAATAAACGCATTATGCCGTTCAGGACTCGGGTGTAACCCAATAAGGTGTAACGCATCTTACACCGACTCTGTCTTAACAACACATAATCGCAACTACGTCGTGGTCGTGGTCGTGGATTTCACCTTATGAAATACATAATATATAAATATAATATCGGCCTACGGTAGCTACCAAACACACCTGTCCTTGGATTTAGTAAACACACAACAATAACAAATAACATCCTCTGCGCAGTGGGTGAACCTCCCCCACCTTCGACCACAATTCCTTTCATCACCGAAACTGCGGTAAGGATAAAATGTTATTACATTGAACATTTGTTTCCCCTCGAAAACATTCAACAGTTAATCTGAGGAATACAAATCGTCGATTAGTGGCAATACTAGTTTTAGAATTAACTATTTTAAGGCAAGGTGTATGTAAGAGTAATAATTGTTGTTGAAAAATAATACAATAAACAAAATGCACACACAGAACGGTTGAATAATAAAAGTCACCTATGGTAGTCACATATGTCCTAAGGTAGTCACATATGTCGAAACTTAACAACACAACAATATTGGGCTGTGGCTCAATGTAGAACGTGTACTTCCTCCTCCTACGTTGGCCCACGGATATGTCAGGCATTAATAAATGACCAACCTCAAAACCGAACAAAGAGCACAATATAACTGGATATAATAGTGCATCGAAATCAACAACAACTGCAGTGCATTCTACAACGGTCTCCAGGACCCAATATAATCGTTTTGAGGCCTAAGGCGCAATAAGCAATTTAGATTTTGCCCTCTACTTGTTACATCCTCCTACCCTGGCCATTCCATCTATAATTTTTTTTTTACCAGCAAGATATAACCCGAGACCAGCAAAATATAAAGTTATCTCAAGGAAGTGGAATAGCTGTTGTTCTAGGTTTTTGAATAGATTTAATACACAAAAACGGCATAGAAAAATACAGTTTCAATTGATGACATAGAAATGCATCGTTGGTATAAAAAAAAAAACAATTATGTCCAAATCAGCTTTTTTTATTTTAAATTACTGTTTGTAAAAATACATTTGTTTTTTTACACGTATCATAAAATGTATGGGTGGCATATTTATTTATTTATTTTGCCGTAATATAAAGGGTAATAAAGATTAAAAATTGAAATCTACTAGAAAAATTTGTACCAATAAATCTACTAAAATAATAACAGTAATATTTTAAAAAAAACTAATAAAATGCACTCGTGCAAAACGACTTTATTTTTTTATTGTAGGAGTATTCGAATATTTTCAAAAAGTATCTGTATTTACTTTTAGTTCTTTTTCTTTGAGAGTATTTTTTAAATAAAATTCAAAATGTTTTAGTAATAACTGTACTTCAACACTTGAAAAAATGTATTTTTTTACAACGCTACCGTGTCATACTACACGCAAAACCAACAAAACGGATATTCATTAAAAAACCCACTTTTTGTGTGTTAACAAAAACACTGAAGTTCTAACACTAACCACATAATCATATCAAAAGCGTTTTTATAAGCCTTTTTTTTAAGCGGTTGTCATGAATTTTAAATGACTACTCTTAAACGCTGTGACCACTCTAAATCAACTGGATTTGCCAAAGAAACCCTTCAAATATTAAAAAAATGTACAGCATAAACAAACATAAGAGTACCGATGAAAATAAAATCAATACAACATCTCTTGCATCAAGCCAACACTAGTTCATAGCTGTTATAATCAATAAACGTACAAAGAAATAATACTTAGGTATTTATTAGAATTGGATCATAATAATAATAAATGCGAATTATATAATTACATTGTATAATTGGCACGTTTAATGTGCGATAAAAGAACATGAAGCCATACAAATTATCATTGGATTGCCGCTACACATTCATAACGCAATTTATTTTCTTTCTTTTTTTCACAGAGTGTTAAGTGCAGTCTTAGTTTAATCATTAGACGTTACGCAACACGTGTTTAAAAAAAACTGACGATGAACAATGAACTTTTTAGGCCATAGCGATACTACCGTGACGACTGCGGGTAAAGAAAACAGAAGGTCAAAGTTTAAAAAAATCAATATCTTTTCAAAATCGTTTTATATATTTGTTTAATACATTTTTTAAAAAGACATTAGGTTAGAAGAATAAAAGCTGTTCTATCTAGAGGGGACTATTATAACCGATGATTTTTTGGCTAAATGACATTAGGTGACTAATCCAGTGTCGTATTAAGGGTCTTCCAAGGGTAAAATTGAAATTTGTTGCTCGACAAGAATGAAATAACCATGTCCTAAATCTGGATCCAAGGGAAGGAGTGACTATTCCCTCCTCAAATCGTCCACAATGACTTCCTTTATTTACAAACTCTAAAATATTGTATCTATATTGAATAAATCAAAATTGTAAAAAACCCAAACGCTGAACGACAAATGACGACAAAAATGCAAGAAAACTTGTTTGAGTGAATTCAAATCAGTTCTTACAAATCTAGTTATTCGATCATAAGTTGATCGTCCAATAATAACGAAAGTGAATAACTAATTGGCACGTGCTGGGCACCTTTGCTGTTTATTTATAAATCTAGTAATCTATTAGTCCACTTAACTACATTATTTTATAATCAAATTTTTTTGGCTTCGTTTCGGAGTTGAGAAAGTAATACATATATATTGTTATTGTGATTTTTTTCTTTCTTATATTAATCGCAAAACTGATTCCAACTACTCTGGGAAGGCCCCTAAACTTACATTACCGCCTCCCCCCCCCCGGTGTAATTTAAGTTAAGCCAATTCAACTACTTGACGAACTCCGTTTGGAGTTTGCATACATAACAACGATAAAAATCCTTTCACTGGGAAACGGTATGTTCGACTATACTGCGAGTGTAAAACAATAACACAAATACGGGACCCAGCGAAACGTTTAGATTTTCACAGAGGAAGTGTCTAAAGAAATCAGTTGGTTCTTTTGGTCCGATTCCAACATTGCGGATAGAAAGTGAAAACGCCGTTCTCGCTAAATGCGATTCAATCGCCGACCGAAATAAGATTACGACATACAAAAGGATGTATATTATATAAAAAAAAAGGATAAAACAAATATATTACTCGGTCTGTCGCAGACGCGGTTAGCCGTAATAATTGTATTCGATCGACCGTCGGAGTTTTTCATATTTTTTTTTTTTTTGTTCACAGCCAACACACGCGCAAACTCAACAGGTCAGGCCGGTCAAAAATGTTTTTAAAAAAATTCGCACTTGGCACTCGGTTACTTTGTTGGGCGCCTTTGACTCATCAGAGACGACAATGTGGCGCTTACACAGATAACTACTATACTACTGACGGATCGCCGAGCTTTTTCATTCTTTATAAATACCTGCGCGGTCGATTGCACTTGGCAAAACAGACGTGATGATAATTTTCAAAATACGAAAACCCAAAGCTTACAGACGTCACATACTGTGTAAAGGGCGGTTTATGCAACAACGTGTGCGCGTGCAAAGAAAAAAAAGCCATTTCCGATGCCAAGACACCACGTGTGCTTTTTTACGACCGACGATCTTGGCACAGTTCCTATAATATACAGCGGCGGCGAATAGGCGACGACGAAGGTTGTTTATTGTTCCACATCTGTTGCTGACCTTCAGAAAAAGTCACGGAAACTCCCCGGCAAGAGCAGACACGGGGTAGAAGGGAAGAACCGACGAATTGAGGTAAATGTCCCCGCCGCTCACGTGGCAATAAATTTAGGAAGAAAAAATACAAAGACACTGTTTTTGCAGATTAATTATACAGTTTATAATATTAGATTTCTCGGCCAACGATCCAACATTGTAATAAAAAATACATACACAAGAGCAGCTGTCAAAACCAGCTCAAAACGATGAAACGATGTGAGAACAAACCTAATACTCGACATCAAAATAATAACCATTGTGCAATTTTATTTAAGGAATATTTTTTTTTTTACGTTGTTATAACCGGAGAAACAGACACGTTTCTATAACGTTTCCATAATGGTTTTTTTTTTATTATTATTAAGTTATAAATTGAACCATGTCATTGAGCATAATAGGATCGTTCATTAATTAACAAAGCAAAGTACATAATGACCATTTTTTGAAAACTAAAAAAAATTAACTACACTTAATAATATTATATTACAAACTGTAACTACATTTTCACATACAACAAGACTAAAAATTAAAAAAAAAAAACATTATTAACTGGCAACTGCACTACTGTTGCAGTTTATTGTGTATATGTTATTAACCCCTTTCACAGACAAACATAAACCTTATAATAACTTGATAATAAGCAGTATGAATGATACAACTTCTAAAACTAACTAGTTGTATTAGGTGTACTTCTGATTTAAA